TCTTGACTTGGTAACAATCCTTATTTTCTCTTGTCTACCCAAAATGTCATTGATAATGTCAAAATTTAAATCAAATCTTCACATGAAAGTTGTAGGAAATTGTCTTAGCTTTCTAGAAAAAAAAATAGAGGTCATTTGGACTTTTAGAACTCTAGATATGGGCTGAATACTGAATAATGTCTGGGTTGTAGGACAAATTTGCACTTCTTCATTGTTATAATTTAGACTTGAAAATGGCCTTTTTAAATCTGGACTTCCACATGAAAGTTGTAGGCCTATGTCTTACCTTTCCATCCATATAAAGTAGACCTGAATCCGAGATCTACAGCTCCAGATATGACCCAATTACTGAATAGTATTCCAGTTTGGACTACACCAGCATCTCTTTGCTAAGTTTGGCCATCTCTTTATCCTTTCAATTTTAGTATTTAAACTCATCAATTAATCCTTTCATTTATGTGATAGGCCTGTATTTAAGATGAATATTTACTACAAATTAAAGGCATCTTATATTATTAGATATGTTATAATAAAACATGCTTTAGTTAAAGAGTTATTGATACTTCAAGTGCAAAATAATGATATAAAACCTTGATAAAAATGCACTTTTAAATACTAATCATTACACTTTTAAGTTTCAAGCGGGAAACTTTTTTTTTTTCATGTAATTTTCGTTTGTAAAACCATAGACAAATGTTTTTTTATGTTGTCGACCAATATAGCAACGAACATTGGTATTACCAACGAACAGAAAGTCGATGGACGTGTTCTGTCAGTGAAGATATCGGTAAATAAATTACTGACAAACTTTTATTCACATACTAACAAAATATTTCTGTCAATAAAACTATGAAATTTTGTAGTGCCTCAAACATGAGGCAACTTACTTTGTGCATGCATATGATACGAGTTCTCAAAACTAGATGTGGTGGATCTGCTATCATTCATCTCACAATCCTTTGAATCATGATATACGTCAAACAAGTTGACTTCCACAATCTACATTTGCAAGTCTTCAATTAATAGTTAATGGATGTTTCACTATTAGAGAATAACCTCCTTTGTCTAAAAACCATTCCTGCGACCATGACCGCATCCTGCTATACGACCTTTAACCATGATAATTCAAGATAGAAAAATCACGGGGACAATTAGGCATTAATAACAACTAACACACCTATAAACAAGATTAATTATAATTGAAAGGAAAACTAGGAAGGGTTGAATGAAAAAGGCTTGAGAAAAATAGTAGACATTGTAGATAATCTTTCACACGAGAAAAATAGAACAAGCTCTTTATTAATTTATCAAAATACCAAAGCTAAAAAATAAATTAAATATATAAATAGCTCTAGAACCATACTCTAGTCCTTAAAAAGGAAAAAAAAATAGTAACAAGTAATTATAAATTAATATAAAATTCACCAGACATTAGAAAACTAAAAAGAAAAAAGAAAAAATAAATTACCAGACATTAGAAAACTAAAAAGAAAAAATAAAAAAAACAATCTCCTAAAAATATCCTACATCAGATATTTGGCAAAGAGAAAATTATACAAGAATGCTGCAATGTGTAGCGCACTTATGTTGTTCTGATCTTGCTAGCTTTTCCTGCAAGACAATCGGATACTATCACCGCTGAAAAGAGCTAAAGGCAAGGAATGTAATCCCTTCTTTATCGAAGATAAAAGTAGACGAATCAAGGCAGCACGAAAAAGTAAAGAATTTTCCTTTTTAAACTTTTTGCATATGGAGGAATGCGAGGCAGTTCAAAAGTTGGAGATGGCTAACTAGAGTAACTTTTATATTTATTTATACACACACACACCTGCTATTTCTTTTTTGACAGCGCCTGACCCTCAATTGTTCTCTCCGATTCTGATATTTGAACGGATGCCCTTGGAATATTTAAATCATGATGCTTGTGTAAATGTGGTTGAAAATGTTAATGGTGCTCATGATTACAGGATTGCAATCGATTTGAAAGGTACGTATTTGATTTCCGCTGAGAATTTATAATATAAAAGGCATAATGGTTTTCATTCTGGTTGAAATTTGGTTGATATATATGATGCTGATGGTCTGAATACTTTTCTGGAACTGATTAAAAGTTATTTTTCGTCGTGCTTTCAGGTGTGGGATAGAAGGTTTGATGAAATATATATTCAGAGATTGTGCAATGTTTAAATTCAGCATTAAGCAAATAACCAACATTTATATAAAGCTAACTTCATTAACATAAGGGAACATATTTAAATTCTGCATTAAGCAAATAACCAACATTTATATAAAGCTAACTTCATTAACATAAGGGAACATATTACACACGAGCTAATCAAAGCAATGAAATACTTAACACAAACAACTTCTACATGGACTACTAAGCATAGAACACACTAGCTAGACTACTAACCAAGCCAATTTTTATTCTTCCATCTTCATAATGAAGTGGTAAATTAAGATTAGTTCTTGTAGGGTTTGAGCATTGGAATGAGTGAGCCACTTAGGTGGAGGGACATGACTTCATTCGTGGAACCCATCAGCTTTCCACCGATAAAAACGGCCGGTAGAGGCGCGTTACACCCCAACCTTGTGAGAGCCTTTTCCATTTCCCTGCCTTCAGCGTCTTGGTCAATCTCATAAACCAGAGGGTCCACCCCAATTTCTTGGAATAGAATTTTGACTGCATAACATAAGCAACATGAGCTCTTGCTGAATATCACTACCGCCTTCTCAGAGGCCAATCCCATCACCTTATCCATGTAATTGTCACTCCTGATTAAGCCTTCTTAGTTTGTGCAGGAGTATGATCGTGAAGAAGTCTTTGGTTTTCTCTAGAGTTTATTCAGATCCTAAAAACCATCAGACCAAATTCAAATATAGTTGGTTCCAATTGTGAGAGTAGGCAAGAGAGAAAAGGGTTTCAATTAAAGATGAAGGTTGTTTGAACTTGTGCTCTCATGCTAGACTATATATAGGGACAGCTTAGGGGGAGTAGAGGAGCTTTACTTAGATGCCCAAATGGGGAATGTTACTTTCAGAGATGGGGACTATAGTGCCTCCATGAGCTGAACAAGTTGACAACCAAATTTCGCTGCATCGGTGTATATTGTTCAAGTAATTACGATATTGACAATTTACCCATCTATTATAACCATATGATATGACAACTAATATTTCTGAAAAATAAATATATAGTGGTTGTCTCCTTAATAAGTTTATAAAATAGATTAAAAAATCCTGTCTTTACTAGAAAAGAACTAAAAATTAAAAGCCTAAAGAAAATTAAGACAAAATCCAAATTAAAACAATAAATCTATAAAAACCTAAAAAAAAACTAACAAAATTAACTTAAACAACAACTTTTAAACCTAATTTTGAGAAATTCAATGGTCTAATAAGTAATATAATGGTTTCTTGAAACAAAACTGCTTGTATAATTACCTAGAAAAATTTAAGTTCAATCTAATAGTTAGATTTCTCATTGTCATTATTTTAAGATGTTAGTCTAGTTTTGCATAACCATACATTCTTTTTATTCCATAAAAATATTTGTTAGACTATCACATGAAATATCTAAATCAAATCTTATTTAATTATGTTATATTCTCACTCAAGTACTCTAAAACTTTTCACAAGCATCAACTCCTGCTTCATCTTCCCTAAGATGGAAGGATCAAAGCTATGATCATACTGTGGGATCGATCCATACAATCGGACACAATTATAACAAACTTGTTCATGCTATTGACCATTTGTCCATCTTTTGCAGATTTTATGGTCACAATTATACTCTCTATAAATACACACAAAAATAGAAAATACTATGAAGCTAGTCAATTTACCAGATTCCCACAATCACCTTCTTTGAATCCTTTTGTTGAAAGATTGGGAACGAGATGGCTTTCGGTGCTGCGATTCTTTGTGCTGCGCCCACCAATTTGCATGATTCCTTCGAGCCCATGATCATGTGAGACTCTATTCTATATAGTACCGCTACATTCCACCCTGTGCAAGCTCCTGCATGTCAACAACGTCCGCACGTGCATACCAGAAATGCAGCTCTTCTTGATTAAAATGGAATAATACTTTTCTCCCTTGAATAAGTGTTGTGTGTAAAGAATAAGTGAGTCTTGAAAGTCACTATAATTTCCATCATAATAAGAAGAGTCCTGCATGATATAAGAACCACGTTGTATACGCACAACACACATGCTGACATGCAGGCGTTCAAATTTTGAAGGACATAAAATGTTCATAGTGTAGATTTCCAGATCATCATGTATAAACATTAGTGTATATAAGCGAGAGCATATTTATGCATAATGGATTACTGCTGCCATATCTAAATATGCAGATCTATAAAACTATTCGCACGCATCTCATATCATATTTATTAGTTAATTTAGCATTAAAGTCATGTTTGAAAGTTTTTTTGCTTTTCGGATATGAAGGAATACATGGGAGGCATAAAAGTTCCAGCATCACCTTTTTGTCTTTCCCTTGTCGAAGGATTAATCCATCTATAATATAAACTAATTAAAAGGTCTCGATTGCAAATTTTAGGGGTAACAAAACCAAGTTTCAAGGTTATAATAAATCTTAAAATTACTTCAAGGAAAAGACACCATTTTATCCACAGTTACTTCCCATCGGTTGGACAGTTGTGCAGAGGAAACTCTGCCACTATAGCGAAATTCACTGAGGGTAAACTTCTGTGTGAACATTTGTTAGAAGTGTCATGATAAAGTGATTCGCTATAGAAGTGAACTTTACTCCATATTGTAATTTAGTTTGCATAGGGAAGTTCTCCCAGATATTCTGAAGTGAGATTCTCAGAATTCTAACCGATCATGATATGTGATCTTTGTAAATGCTTGCATTATCACCATTTTATAGATAGGTATTCATCCAACATAGTAAAATATGCAGAAAGTTTGGCAAGTATGATTTTGAGTATGGCAGAATTGAAAACATCATTGAAATCTTAAAAACCCACTGAAAACTGATCTTCAGGAATTCTTTTCATAATATTACATTTTTGCACACAATGTAGTCAGGTAACTCAAGAAAAAGAAAAGCCCTTAATACAATTTTGTTTTCAACATATTATAAGAGCTATTTTCATATATATTATACAGAATCAAACATAAGTACTATGTGTGGCTTATTTGAGAGGTACTATAGCTAGAACCAGATTGCTTTTGCTTCCATGAGCATTTGTTTCAAAGAGCCATCCAGGTGCAGGGATAGCACATCTTTTGCTGATCCTACCCATTTTCCACCTATGAAGACAGCCGGGACGATGGGATTGCACCCTAACCCACGTAAAGCCCACTCCATTTCCCTCCCATTGGCTTCACGGTCAAGCTCATGAATTGCAGGGCTTGCTCCGAGTTCATAAAAAAGTGTCTTGATACTATAGCACATGCAGCATGAGCTCTTGGTGAAGATCACTGCAGCGTTCTTTGATGCCAAATCTGTAACTTGATCCATTTCTGAAATCTTTTCCTGGTGTTGCTAAGAAATGAAGTGATTCTTTTGCTATATACAGCTAGCTGCTAGTAGCTAGAATTTTCTTGGAAGAGACAAGAAAAAAAATACTGCAGGGAAGCAATTAGCTGGTAAGTGAAGAAAGCTTGTAACTAGCTAGTTACTTAAGATTAGCTTTGGTGGACTTTGAGATTCATCAGGCCTTATTTATAAGGGCAGGTGAGGGTGGTGGATTGCATTGTTTAATCCATAATCCATAAAGGAAAAACAAAATACAGGATAAAAAGAGAAAGATCCTTCAGATATTTGTTTGGATAAGAAAAATATTGCAGCTTATGATTTGGTTGATGTCGAACCCTTTGTGTCATAAACAACTTGTAATCATTCATGTACAACTGTAATTCAAATCTTCCAGATAGATTTGTTAGTGATTATGCCATATAGCTAATTGACGGGTTAAAAATATATTTAATTTATTAATAAATTTTTATTTATTTATTTTTAATATTCATTCTATATTTTATTAATAAATCTAAAATAAAGATAAAGTTTTTGGAGAAAAAATATTTTGCAAATGAAATTATAAAGTTGTAATAATTGTGGAATTCATATTGCAACAAGACATTATTCCTAAATGTTCTTAGTTAACGCTCAATTAAAACTAGACATTAATTAGAGTTATTAACATTGATACATATTATGTTTTTTTCTTTATAAAAGGAAGTAGTTATTCTTATAAGTTGAGATATGAGAGATACTTAAAACTAATATTTTGGTACTTGTTAGATGACACGTGCTATGAACTGACCCGTGTGAGAATTTTATATGGACAAATCATTTGTGTTTAATAAAAAATCTCATGTGATAGTTATTTAAGTGATTTTTATATTTGAGAAGTGATCTTTATATTTAAGATCACCAAATTATCTTATATGTAGAGTATTATGTTGTGATTCTACTATATGTTCTCCGAATTAAGGGTATCAGATGGATAGATATTGAATATAATATGAATTATATTAAGGCATTTAAATAACCAAGAGATGATTCATTACCCTACGTGAATTATGAAAAATACTTCATATGTTGTCAAACTGTATTGATTGTAAATCTTTATACAAGGTGGAATAAGATTTGAAAAGATTTTTAAAACTTATTTAAAGAGTCAATGACTATGGTGTTAAAAATAAAATGATTTGGCAAAATAGACACACTTTATGATATAATATAAATTGAAAAATTATAGATGAAGGGATAATAATTACATATGAGTTATATGAAGGTATTTAAGTAATGAAGAAATTATTTATAATCCTAGATGAATTAGAAAAAATATTTTACTTATTCTTAAATAGTATTAATTGCAAAACCTTACACAAGTAGAATTACATTTGTAAAAAGTTTCATATCTTATTCAAATAATCAATAACTATGGTATTAAGAACAAACATCATTTAACAAAGTACATGCACTTCTTATTATAATATCTAAATTGAAACATTGTTCATGAAAGGATAATAGTTGCATTAAAAAATTGATCACTGAAAAGTTAAGTCAAACCACTTATTTGAATTAGTTTTATGTGTAAAAATTATTTTTTCTTGTATTTTTTTCAAAAAAAACATATAATTATTTTTTTAACCATATCTGACTGGAATTTACCAAAAATAGTACATATGAAAAAATATTTTTCATGGTTACCATGGTAACAGCACTAAATACAAGAGATAACAACTCGTTACTGCCTCAACGGCGCTTCACTAGAACCAACCCTAAGCTGCTGCTGGAGTCACTGCTGCATCCATTAGCATTGGTTAGGGAGCACATTACTAGTAAAAGCAAATAGAAGTAGTGTTTTGGGGCATAATTTTGATTATGCCCCTAGGTGCCTTTTAATGATTTTAGAGAGTATAATTACTAATATACCTTTATCACATAAAGTTAATTACAATAGAATTTTAGGATGAATAATTTTACCACAACCAATTATTCCTTTTTACATTATGGAATATGGGATATAATTATGATTATCTCCATTTAGATATAAAACATTGCTTTTATATTCTAAAATTAAAATGCTAAATTAATTTAATTATAGAATTAATTTTCCTCATAGGATTAGGATTGCATTAAAATGTTTATTTAAAAAAATTGAATTTTATAATATCATTATAAGAATAGGATTTAATTTAATTTTTAATTAAAATAATATTGTATAAAAATAGTTTTTTCTAAAATAAAGAGATTTTTTATGTAATAAAAATTAATTTATTTGATCATAAAATAGTTTAGGATATGAATTTTAATATTATTAATTTGTTATTAAATTTTAATCATAAAATTTATTATGTCTGGTAAATTATCAAATTGGATTTGATTTAATTTTTTTATATCTTATAAATATTATTTTAAAAATTGAACATAAAACCAATAATTAGAATTGAAGCATTATTCTTGTTAATATGTTATTATTCATTATGAATGATTATAGACATTAAATGTGAAAACCCTGAAAATTTATAATTTAAATATATAAATATATAAACCCTCATGTAAACGTAAGACTAAAAATGATAATATTTCAATGAGTGATGGAAATCAAGATTAGAAGTAATAGATAAATAATGATATATAATGGAAGAGATGACCTCTATAAAATAAATTTTGGTTTAGAATTCATAAGGATAAAGAAACTAGTAATGTGTTTTGATGGATAAAATAATAAGAAAAATAACAAAATATTTTTGGGAAATAAGAGAGGTAATAAAGAATACATTATAAGGATAGTGTAATGAAAAGGGTAGGACTGAAGGTGTAAGCACCAATTATGACATTATTTTAAAACGGTAATAAGCCCAATAAGTAAATAAAGGTGGAAATCCTAAAATGAATACATTCCAAAATAATAAAATGACCTCAAAGATTTAGAAGGATAATTGATATGATTTTTTATGAAGAATGAACAAGAAAAATCTAAATTGTTTATGAAAAGTCTTGAACTGATCAATTTTATATTAGGAAGGAGAGCTCTCAATCCAATCACTGAATTGAGATGAAATTTTGCATGAAGTCTATTAATATGTTTTCCTATCTTGATTAAATATCTCATCCCAATCAAAGTTTGGTAAAAGACTTGCAATTTAAGCAAATAGAGAAAGAAGGATAGAGAGAGAGCTGCAGATTTTGGAGAAAACCAATAATGCTCCGGTGGCCATATCCCTGGAATCCACCGTTAGATCATGTTTCGTTTTGGAAATGTTGTTCTTATCATACTCCTCTTCTTACAGACTAGAGGAATTGGAAGGACCACACTCTATTTGACAAAACTCATCATCGGAAATGTACTGGAAAACAAAAATGAAATGCACCTACAGGGTAGTTTGGTCACCGGATGATTTTGTTTTCTTCCACCGTAGGATCATGCTCATTCTTGGATATGTGGTGCGCCTAGAGTGGACGGTGGAGATCAGAAACTAATTCTCTAGCAAGGTTTCATGCATGTTGAATAGTAGCTCGTCCATTTTCAAGTAAGCTCGGTTTTATTCCGATTTAGGGAGATCTAATTGTTTGGTCATTATGATTTTGACATATATTATGCTCAAGTCTATGATATGTAGTATTCCATTGGGTTTAAAACAACAATCCGAGGTTGATGACTTATTGCCTTTTGAATTTATTGCTAGTTTTGGCAAAATGTAATGAGCTTGACTAAATATATGTTTTGATGAAATTAAAATTGGGTAGGTGTAGGTTTTATGGAATATGTAATGGTAAAATATGTTCTTGTTATTAGTATTATTATAGATTAATTGTTTATTCTTCATATGAGGGGAAGAATGATTATTGTGTAAAAATAATAAGGAAAATTGCTATATGAACATGTTGATTGAATAGAGAGCTAACTTGCTAGTTGTGTGGATACAAATGGGGTGGAACCATGAAGAAATTGAAATGAAAGAAATTTGAAAAATAAAAAATATTTAGAGCTAGCTTATTAGTACTTAAAAGTACATTTTTATCAAGGTTTTATATCATCATTTTGCACTTAAAGTATTAATAACTCCTTAACTAAAGCATGTTTTATAATAACAAGTTTGATACCATAAGATAACTTTAATTTATGATAAATATTCATCCTAAATGCAAGCCTATCACATAAATAAAAGGATTAATTGATAAGTTGAAGTACTAAAATTAAAAGGACAAAGTGAGGGTGAAGCTTAGAAAAGAGATGCTAGTTTAGTCCAAATTAGAACACTATTTGGTAATTGGATCATAACTAGAGGTATAGAACTTAGATTTAGGTTTGCTTTATATAGATGAAAAGCTAAGACAAAGGCCTAAAACTTTCATGCAGAAAGTGACACGACTAAAAAATTGATATCTTCTCCTAAGTGTAGAAGTGTCGAAGTAATGAATAACCTGACAAGACCGAGATCAAACCACAGGGAGGTTAATTGTATAAATTATAGATAACAATAATACAACAACAGCAATAACAATAACAATAGTGACAATAACAATAATAGTAGTAGTAGTAGTAATGGTAATAGTAATCATAATAATGGTAATGGTAATAATAATAGTAATAATAATAATAATAATAATAATAAAGAAGAAATTGATGAAAACTTTGAGATGAAAGATTAATGTAAAGATTAAACAATGATAATCATAAATGTCAAGGTTAGAGGAGCCACCAATGATATGTCAAACAAGTATAGTATAAACTCTTTTTATTCAATTGGAAACCACACACAAAGGAGGTTCCAATCAGATTTTAAATTGTTAACATGATTACATTAGTCATCTTATTCGATTAATGCTAATACTTGTGAATCTCGTCAGGCATTCATGACTATAACTTATATTAACAACAAATCAAGTTCCTTTCATAGCTCAAGTGTCGATTATACCATACAATATGGGCTATAAAAGTGCCAAGTATTTGTTGTACCAAGTGTTATACAACATAAATCTCAATTAGTCATTTAATAAGCAAAGTATTAAAGAGTGAACATGATAACAAATACAAAACATATTAGTATCAAACATTAAAATCCATATTAAGTTTACATTATACTTATTCTTATACCATTAGTGTAACCTTTTCACCTTGACATAATAAACTTAGCTACACATAATGAAAGAAAGAAAAATA